CGTCAAAATGTGGTAAGAACATCTGTGACACACTCGGCTATCGCCTCGTGCCACTTTTTTGTTCTTACCACATTTTGACGTCATCCGTGATCTATTACTGAACAGATGCACGGCAAAATGAAATCTATTTGTTAAATATACATGTAATCAAAATACACAAACTGTTACAGTGCGTACACTGAAACAGGGGCCACCCAGACAATGAAACCTGACCAGATAGCAGAACCGAAACAACAGATTTCAACATTTTCAAATCCAGCCAATCAAATGTCTGGTACAAAACAATGAAATAGATCTCAACCCGTTCGTTGTGATTCTTAGGGTCAGGTCACACTAGAGCGAATTCAAATACTTCCAATTTTTGGTGAGGAAAAGAATTGGCAAAAATTTTGCAAGTTCAAAATTTGGGCATTAGACCAACATGTTGGAACCAATACATTACTGATTGAAATAATTATACGTCACAAGATCTATATTTCTCAATCAAGTATTTTTATTAAATTCCATGCAAAAGTTTAACTCTTCACAGATTTTTCTCCACGCTGCATGTTCTTGACTCTCTGCTCTACAGCAACTCATGAATTTCAGCCCATAATTGGACTAGCAGATTTTCCTCAACTTGAACTTGTGATGTTGCTTGTGCCACTTACGATGGAAGAAGATAGTCTCACTGAAGCCATCTCTTCAAATTGCTGCCAGTAGCCAGATCCAGGGTACGAGTCATCAGAAGTTGAATAAAAACGCTGCTCATATTACTTGTTTGCATTGAAATAACTGTAAAAAGCGTCAGATGTACCTGGTAAAAAAGATTTTGTCCTGCCATCGCACACACCAAACTGGACTAGCCGTCAGAGTTATTTTCTCGCCGTAATGTTATCCAGACATGTTTTAAAAAATATGACAGTTAAATGGTTTTAAAAAAAAATTGTTTGCTTTGCCAAAATTTGGAAGCCTTCAAGGCAGCACTTTGGCTTCTTTGAAAATTAGCAAAAATTTGGCAAGGTTTTGAAACTGGGGGTCACACTTATCTTATGTTATTTGTTGACAGATTTATTACTTACACAAACAAAATTGGCTCTAGTGCGACCCAGGCCTTATGCAGCTATGGTGTCTGTTAATAAAGTGTTAAGCTCAAACCGTTATTGCTTTCGCATGCTTGTGAGTTAAAAAGAAATATATGCTGCACTTTCGTATGGGGTTGTTGGTCGCTTTAGAAAATACATGTGAAAAGAAAAGCTGCATAAGAGCTTGATAATTTGTTAATACTGTAGCTGCTAAGCATCAAAACAAACAATCTGAGATTTAATTGTTCTGTACTGGACATCTGCATGGTGGCCTCATGGTTAGTGCGTTCGTCTCTGGATCAAGTGGTTCAGGTTTTGAGCCCTGCCAGGGGACATTGCATTGTGTTCTTGGGTAAGACACTGACTTGCACAGTGCCTCTCCACCCAGGTGTATAAATGGGGACTGGCGAACTGCTGGGGTAACACTGCAATGGACTAGCATCCCATCTAGGGGGATGTAGAACACTCCCAGTCGCTTCATGCTACAGAAACCAGGATAAGCTCTGGCCTGATGAGCCACTTGGCTCATATGCAGACTTAACCTTACCTTGCTGGACATTTTCATTGTCTGGGTTGCCCCAGTTTCATTTAACGCACTGTAAAACTCAAAACTAAAAACTAAAACTTCTGGTGGTGAACACTGCTCAAATGATTGTGATAAAGTTGTAGCATAGAAACAAGAAACCTAATGTACAAATCTTTAGGTATTACAAAGAAATAGTCATTGCTACAACTAAAACAAACTAATATTTAATAAATAATAATATCAATTTATATTATGTAATATGCTCACCAAATAACCACAGGCACCAAATGCAATGTACAGTGTTGTGACTAGAAAAAGCGTCAACTTGAATACACTAAAAACGGAAGGAAAAGTTAAAAAGTGATAACTGCCTTTGCAGTCTTATGTGGACATGTGATGAGACCCAAGAACCCAAGAAAAGGATCAACTACAGGACATTGTCTTGCCCTACTTCTATATTCAAAGATTACAAAATCATGTACAAAATAGCTGAATGCAAATTTCACTTGATCTTTTTAGAGTCATGTACTCACTTTCTAAATTTATCTCTTGAATCTCTAGCACAGGATGCCTCCAGTGACAATATTAGTCCAGCACCCTATATGTGCATGGCATACATAATTAATACGGACATACCTTTAGTTAGTAAGGTGTATGTGTGTACATTAATTTAAATTGTTTTAATTTTTGTCCCTATTATTACTTAACATTGTATTAAGCTATTTTCATGCCCACAAATTATTATGTAATTTATTATTTACCACTTTTTTCTCTTAGAGCAGTTTTCAATTGAAGGGGCCTAAGTGACTTCTGGAAAATTTTGAGGCAGCCAGGAGTGAAATGCCTACCAGCAATTTTCAGAGTTTACCCTGGTTTTAGTTATTGTCTCAAAAGAACTAGTAATTATTACTAGTTCTTTTTAGACAATAATGAAGACAAAAGTAAACTGTATTAATTGCTAGCAGGCACTTCAATGCTGATTACCTCAACGTTTTCCAAAAGTCACTTAGGGCTTTATTGTGAAGAAAACTAAATATTCCATTATTGCCACTCAATACAAGATCGCTCATTTAGATCATCAACCCGATGTACATGTAAGAATAAATGGTCATTCTGTAGATAGAGTCAAAACCCACAGATACCTAGGGGTCAAAATTGATGACACTCTAACGTGGCACTCCCAAATTGATCAGATTGCTAAAAAAGTGTCAGCTGGCCTGGCAATTCTGAAGCGGGCTAGGGCCTTGGTACCGTGGGATACTTTAATTAACATGTACAATGCCCTTGTTGTCCCATATTTTGACTATTGTAGCCCAGTATGGGGNAGCAGCAGTAGTAGTAGTAGTAGCAGTAACAGTAGCAGTAGCAGTAGCCGTAGCAGCAGTAGCAGTAGTAGCAGTAGTAGCAGTAGTAGTAGTAGTAGTAGTAGTGGTAGTAGTGGTAGTGGTAGTAGTGGTAGTAGTGGTAGCAGCAGTAGTAGTAGTAGTAGCAGTAACAGTAGCAGTAGCAGTAGCCGTAGCAGCAGTAGCAGTAGTAGCAGTAGTAGCAGTAGTAGTAGTAGTAGTAGTAGTGGTAGTAGTGGTAGTGGTAGTAGTGGTAGTAGTGGTAGCAGCAGTAGTAGTAGTAGTAGCAGTAACAGTAGCAGTAGCAGTAGCCGTAGCAGCAGTAGCAGTAGTAGCAGTAGTAGCAGTAGTAGTAGTAGTAGTAGTAGTGGTAGTAGTGGTAGTGGTAGTAGTGGTAGTAGTGGTAGCAGCAGTAGTAGTAGTAGTAGCAGTAACAGTAGCAGTAGCAGTAGCCGTAGCAGCAGTAGCAGTAGTAGCAGTAGTAGCAGTAGTAGTAGTAGTAGTAGTAGTGGTAGTAGTGGTAGTGGTAGTAGTGGTAGTAGTGGTAGCAGCAGTAGTAGTAGTAGTAGCAGTAACAGTAGCAGTAGCAGTAGCCGTAGCAGCAGTAGCAGTAGTAGCAGTAGTAGCAGTAGTAGTAGTAGTAGTAGTAGTGGTAGTAGTGGTAGTGGTAGTAGTGGTAGTAGTGGTAGCAGCAGTAGTAGTAGTAGTAGCAGTAACAGTAGCAGTAGCAGTAGCCGTAGCAGCAGTAGCAGTAGTAGCAGTAGTAGCAGTAGTAGTAGTAGTAGTAGTAGTGGTAGTAGTGGTAGTGGTAGTAGTGGTAGTAGTGGTAGCAGCAGTAGTAGTAGTAGTAGCAGTAACAGTAGCAGTAGCAGTAGCCGTAGCAGCAGTAGCAGTAGTAGCAGTAGTAGCAGTAGTAGTAGTAGTAGTAGTAGTGGTAGTAGTGGTAGTGGTAGTAGTGGTAGTAGTGGTAGCAGCAGTAGTAGTAGTAGTAGCAGTAACAGTAGCAGTAGCAGTAGCCGTAGCAGCAGTAGCAGTAGTAGCAGTAGTAGCAGTAGTAGTAGTAGTAGTAGTAGTGGTAGTAGTGGTAGTGGTAGTAGTGGTAGTAGTGGTAGCAGCAGTAGTAGTAGTAGTAGCAGTAACAGTAGCAGTAGCAGTAGCCGTAGCAGCAGTAGCAGTAGTAGCAGTAGTAGCAGTAGTAGTAGTAGTAGTAGTAGTGGTAGTAGTGGTAGTGGTAGTAGTGGTAGTAGTGGTAGCAGCAGTAGTAGTAGTAGTAGCAGTAACAGTAGCAGTAGCAGTAGCCGTAGCAGCAGTAGCAGTAGTAGCAGTAGTAGCAGTAGTAGTAGTAGTAGTAGTAGTGGTAGTAGTGGTAGTGGTAGTAGTGGTAGTAGTGGTAGCAGCAGTAGTAGTAGTAGTAGCAGTAACAGTAGCAGTAGCAGTAGCCGTAGCAGCAGTAGCAGTAGTAGCAGTAGTAGCAGTAGTAGTAGTAGTAGTAGTAGTGGTAGTAGTGGTAGTGGTAGTAGTGGTAGTAGTGGTAGCAGCAGTAGTAGTAGTAGTAGCAGTAACAGTAGCAGTAGCAGTAGCCGTAGCAGCAGTAGCAGTAGTAGCAGTAGTAGCAGTAGTAGTAGTAGTAGTAGTAGTGGTAGTAGTGGTAGTGGTAGTAGTGGTAGTAGTGGTAGCAGCAGTAGTAGTAGTAGTAGCAGTAACAGTAGCAGTAGCAGTAGCCGTAGCAGCAGTAGCAGTAGTAGCAGTAGTAGCAGTAGTAGTAGTAGTAGTAGTAGTGGTAGTAGTGGTAGTGGTAGTAGTGGTAGTAGTGGTAGCAGCAGTAGTAGTAGTAGTAGCAGTAACAGTAGCAGTAGCAGTAGCCGTAGCAGCAGTAGCAGTAGTAGCAGTAGTAGCAGTAGTAGTAGTAGTAGTAGTAGTGGTAGTAGTGGTAGTGGTAGTAGTGGTAGTAGTGGTAGCAGCAGTAGTAGTAGTAGTAGCAGTAACAGTAGCAGTAGCAGTAGCCGTAGCAGCAGTAGCAGTAGTAGCAGTAGTAGCAGTAGTAGTAGTAGTAGTAGTAGTGGTAGTAGTGGTAGTGGTAGTAGTGGTAGTAGTGGTAGCAGCAGTAGTAGTAGTAGTAGCAGTAACAGTAGCAGTAGCAGTAGCCGTAGCAGCAGTAGCAGTAGTAGCAGTAGTAGCAGTAGTAGTAGTAGTAGTAGTAGTGGTAGTAGTGGTAGTGGTAGTAGTGGTAGTAGTGGTAGCAGCAGTAGTAGTAGTAGTAGCAGTAACAGTAGCAGTAGCAGTAGCCGTAGCAGCAGTAGCAGTAGTAGCAGTAGTAGCAGTAGTAGTAGTAGTAGTAGTAGTGGTAGTAGTGGTAGTGGTAGTAGTGGTAGTAGTGGTAGCAGCAGTAGTAGTAGTAGTAGCAGTAACAGTAGCAGTAGCAGTAGCCGTAGCAGCAGTAGCAGTAGTAGCAGTAGTAGCAGTAGTAGTAGTAGTAGTAGTAGTGGTAGTAGTGGTAGTGGTAGTAGTGGTAGTAGTGGTAGCAGCAGTAGTAGTAGTAGTAGCAGTAACAGTAGCAGTAGCAGTAGCCGTAGCAGCAGTAGCAGTAGTAGCAGTAGTAGCAGTAGTAGTAGTAGTAGTAGTAGTGGTAGTAGTGGTAGTGGTAGTAGTGGTAGTAGTGGTAGCAGCAGTAGTAGTAGTAGTAGCAGTAACAGTAGCAGTAGCAGTAGCCGTAGCAGCAGTAGCAGTAGTAGCAGTAGTAGCAGTAGTAGTAGTAGTAGTAGTAGTGGTAGTAGTGGTAGTGGTAGTAGTGGTAGTAGTGGTAGCAGCAGTAGTAGTAGTAGTAGCAGTAACAGTAGCAGTAGCAGTAGCCGTAGCAGCAGTAGCAGTAGTAGCAGTAGTAGCAGTAGTAGTAGTAGTAGTAGTAGTGGTAGTAGTGGTAGTGGTAGTAGTGGTAGTAGTGGTAGCAGCAGTAGTAGTAGTAGTAGCAGTAACAGTAGCAGTAGCAGTAGCCGTAGCAGCAGTAGCAGTAGTAGCAGTAGTAGCAGTAGTAGTAGTAGTAGTAGTAGTGGTAGTAGTGGTAGTGGTAGTAGTGGTAGTAGTGGTAGCAGCAGTAGTAGTAGTAGTAGCAGTAACAGTAGCAGTAGCAGTAGCCGTAGCAGCAGTAGCAGTAGTAGCAGTAGTAGCAGTAGTAGTAGTAGTAGTAGTAGTGGTAGTAGTGGTAGTGGTAGTAGTGGTAGTAGTGGTAGCAGCAGTAGTAGTAGTAGTAGCAGTAACAGTAGCAGTAGCAGTAGCCGTAGCAGCAGTAGCAGTAGTAGCAGTAGTAGCAGTAGTAGTAGTAGTAGTAGTAGTGGTAGTAGTGGTAGTGGTAGTAGTGGTAGTAGTGGTAGCAGCAGTAGTAGTAGTAGTAGCAGTAACAGTAGCAGTAGCAGTAGCCGTAGCAGCAGTAGCAGTAGTAGCAGTAGTAGCAGTAGTAGTAGTAGTAGTAGTAGTGGTAGTAGTGGTAGTGGTAGTAGTGGTAGTAGTGGTAGCAGCAGTAGTAGTAGTAGTAGCAGTAACAGTAGCAGTAGCAGTAGCCGTAGCAGCAGTAGCAGTAGTAGCAGTAGTAGCAGTAGTAGTAGTAGTAGTAGTAGTGGTAGTAGTGGTAGTGGTAGTAGTGGTAGTAGTGGTAGCAGCAGTAGTAGTAGTAGTAGCAGTAACAGTAGCAGTAGCAGTAGCCGTAGCAGCAGTAGCAGTAGTAGCAGTAGTAGCAGTAGTAGTAGTAGTAGTAGTAGTGGTAGTAGTGGTAGTGGTAGTAGTGGTAGTAGTGGTAGCAGCAGTAGTAGTAGTAGTAGCAGTAACAGTAGCAGTAGCAGTAGCCGTAGCAGCAGTAGCAGTAGTAGCAGTAGTAGCAGTAGTAGTAGTAGTAGTAGTAGTGGTAGTAGTGGTAGTGGTAGTAGTGGTAGTAGTGGTAGCAGCAGTAGTAGTAGTAGTAGCAGTAACAGTAGCAGTAGCAGTAGCCGTAGCAGCAGTAGCAGTAGTAGCAGTAGTAGCAGTAGTAGTAGTAGTAGTAGTAGTGGTAGTAGTGGTAGTGGTAGTAGTGGTAGTAGTGGTAGCAGCAGTAGTAGTAGTAGTAGCAGTAACAGTAGCAGTAGCAGTAGCCGTAGCAGCAGTAGCAGTAGTAGCAGTAGTAGCAGTAGTAGTAGTAGTAGTAGTAGTGGTAGTAGTGGTAGTGGTAGTAGTGGTAGTAGTGGTAGCAGCAGTAGTAGTAGTAGTAGCAGTAACAGTAGCAGTAGCAGTAGCCGTAGCAGCAGTAGCAGTAGTAGCAGTAGTAGCAGTAGTAGTAGTAGTAGTAGTAGTGGTAGTAGTGGTAGTGGTAGTAGTGGTAGTAGTGGTAGCAGCAGTAGTAGTAGTAGTAGCAGTAACAGTAGCAGTAGCAGTAGCCGTAGCAGCAGTAGCAGTAGTAGCAGTAGTAGCAGTAGTAGTAGTAGTAGTAGTAGTGGTAGTAGTGGTAGTGGTAGTAGTGGTAGTAGTGGTAGCAGCAGTAGTAGTAGTAGTAGCAGTAACAGTAGCAGTAGCAGTAGCCGTAGCAGCAGTAGCAGTAGTAGCAGTAGTAGCAGTAGTAGTAGTAGTAGTAGTAGTGGTAGTAGTGGTAGTGGTAGTAGTGGTAGTAGTGGTAGCAGCAGTAGTAGTAGTAGTAGCAGTAACAGTAGCAGTAGCAGTAGCCGTAGCAGCAGTAGCAGTAGTAGCAGTAGTAGCAGTAGTAGTAGTAGTAGTAGTAGTGGTAGTAGTGGTAGTGGTAGTAGTGGTAGTAGTGGTAGCAGCAGTAGTAGTAGTAGTAGCAGTAACAGTAGCAGTAGCAGTAGCCGTAGCAGCAGTAGCAGTAGTAGCAGTAGTAGCAGTAGTAGTAGTAGTAGTAGTAGTGGTAGTAGTGGTAGTGGTAGTAGTGGTAGTAGTGGTAGCAGCAGTAGTAGTAGTAGTAGCAGTAACAGTAGCAGTAGCAGTAGCCGTAGCAGCAGTAGCAGTAGTAGCAGTAGTAGCAGTAGTAGTAGTAGTAGTAGTAGTGGTAGTAGTGGTAGTGGTAGTAGTGGTAGTAGTGGTAGCAGCAGTAGTAGTAGTAGTAGCAGTAACAGTAGCAGTAGCAGTAGCCGTAGCAGCAGTAGCAGTAGTAGCAGTAGTAGCAGTAGTAGTAGTAGTAGTAGTAGTGGTAGTAGTGGTAGTGGTAGTAGTGGTAGTAGTGGTAGCAGCAGTAGTAGTAGTAGTAGCAGTAACAGTAGCAGTAGCAGTAGCCGTAGCAGCAGTAGCAGTAGTAGCAGTAGTAGCAGTAGTAGTAGTAGTAGTAGTAGTGGTAGTAGTGGTAGTGGTAGTAGTGGTAGTAGTGGTAGCAGCAGTAGTAGTAGTAGTAGCAGTAACAGTAGCAGTAGCAGTAGCCGTAGCAGCAGTAGCAGTAGTAGCAGTAGTAGCAGTAGTAGTAGTAGTAGTAGTAGTGGTAGTAGTGGTAGTGGTAGTAGTGGTAGTAGTGGTAGCAGCAGTAGTAGTAGTAGTAGCAGTAACAGTAGCAGTAGCAGTAGCCGTAGCAGCAGTAGCAGTAGTAGCAGTAGTAGCAGTAGTAGTAGTAGTAGTAGTAGTGGTAGTAGTGGTAGTGGTAGTAGTGGTAGTAGTGGTAGCAGCAGTAGTAGTAGTAGTAGCAGTAACAGTAGCAGTAGCAGTAGCCGTAGCAGCAGTAGCAGTAGTAGCAGTAGTAGCAGTAGTAGTAGTAGTAGTAGTAGTGGTAGTAGTGGTAGTGGTAGTAGTGGTAGTAGTGGTAGCAGCAGTAGTAGTAGTAGTAGCAGTAACAGTAGCAGTAGCAGTAGCCGTAGCAGCAGTAGCAGTAGTAGCAGTAGTAGCAGTAGTAGTAGTAGTAGTAGTAGTGGTAGTAGTGGTAGTGGTAGTAGTGGTAGTAGTGGTAGCAGCAGTAGTAGTAGTAGTAGCAGTAACAGTAGCAGTAGCAGTAGCCGTAGCAGCAGTAGCAGTAGTAGCAGTAGTAGCAGTAGTAGTAGTAGTAGTAGTAGTGGTAGTAGTGGTAGTGGTAGTAGTGGTAGTAGTGGTAGCAGCAGTAGTAGTAGTAGTAGCAGTAACAGTAGCAGTAGCAGTAGCCGTAGCAGCAGTAGCAGTAGTAGCAGTAGTAGCAGTAGTAGTAGTAGTAGTAGTAGTGGTAGTAGTGGTAGTGGTAGTAGTGGTAGTAGTGGTAGCAGCAGTAGTAGTAGTAGTAGCAGTAACAGTAGCAGTAGCAGTAGCCGTAGCAGCAGTAGCAGTAGTAGCAGTAGTAGCAGTAGTAGTAGTAGTAGTAGTAGTGGTAGTAGTGGTAGTGGTAGTAGTGGTAGTAGTGGTAGCAGCAGTAGTAGTAGTAGTAGCAGTAACAGTAGCAGTAGCAGTAGCCGTAGCAGCAGTAGCAGTAGTAGCAGTAGTAGCAGTAGTAGTAGTAGTAGTAGTAGTGGTAGTAGTGGTAGTGGTAGTAGTGGTAGTAGTGGTAGCAGCAGTAGTAGTAGTAGTAGCAGTAACAGTAGCAGTAGCAGTAGCCGTAGCAGCAGTAGCAGTAGTAGCAGTAGTAGCAGTAGTAGTAGTAGTAGTAGTAGTGGTAGTAGTGGTAGTGGTAGTAGTGGTAGTAGTGGTAGCAGCAGTAGTAGTAGTAGTAGCAGTAACAGTAGCAGTAGCAGTAGCCGTAGCAGCAGTAGCAGTAGTAGCAGTAGTAGCAGTAGTAGTAGTAGTAGTAGTAGTGGTAGTAGTGGTAGTGGTAGTAGTGGTAGTAGTGGTAGCAGCAGTAGTAGTAGTAGTAGCAGTAACAGTAGCAGTAGCAGTAGCCGTAGCAGCAGTAGCAGTAGTAGCAGTAGTAGCAGTAGTAGTAGTAGTAGTAGTAGTAGTGTCAGTGTCAGTGTCAGTGTCAGTGTTAGTGTTAGTATTAGTATAAGTTGTATTAGTAGAAATAGTGCTTGTGGTAGACTACTTATAAATTGTAACTTTTATATCTAGGTTAGACACGGCTCGATGGAAGAGCATATTTTGTATGAATTTGATACTGTGTATAAATAAAGCTTAAAAAAAAAAAAGAAAAAAAATTCCACACACCCCTTCAATTGAGTGTCAAACCAAAATCAAAGTAATCACTCTGGCCAATCACAAATTACAGACAGTCATTGAACCAATCGAAACTCAAATCAAATTTATGTCCATGCACTAGTTGATTGGTTTTACTTCTGATTGGATAACAAATAAGTGGAGCAAGTTTTTTAAGCCAACCGCATAATCTCTCATAATGTCTATTTTGCACTTATTTACTTGCCTCGTAACAGTATATTGCAACACCCAAGAAAAATGGCAGACCACTTATTCTAGCAACTTGAGGGTGAATTCTGAAACAAAAAATCAATGAAGAGAACAAAATTAAATCTGAAGATACATTGTATATCCATTCATAATGTAGATTGACTTATTATTTTCGAAAAAACTTTATTGCATAGATCACAACAATTGAAAACAATACAATTACAAAATGTTATTTTAAAATTTTTATATTCAACACAGTGTCTGCCTCAACTGTGCGGCATCGTGATGACAATTTTATTTATATTTGAATGTTTTATGATGTGTAAATAATTTATTGTAAATATAGATCAGGTTCTCATAAGGTCAGTAGACAAGTTTTTAAAATTTTTACTTATTGTCACATTGTTATAAGGTCTTTATTTTATACACGAACCCACAAGCTTTTAGCTTTAAAACTCATCATGCTGAAATAAAGGCTTACTATCCTATCCTACAGAGCAAAAGGATCTCAACTTTGATTTTCAAGTAACTGGGAAAAAAATGAACAACAACCTTGTAAAGTTGAAACATCAATAGTTCTACTTGACATAAAAAAGCAGCTTTGAATTCATTGTAGTTCCAGAAAATATCCATACCCCCCTCACAGAAGGGATTTTTTCCACGACCCCCCACCCCTCTGGAAATTCCAATAATAATAAGTTTGATACATTCCTATTAATATTGAATGTTTTGGTCTTAGACAACCCCCAGCCCCCTTGGAAATTCCAATATGGAGGATACAAATGTTTCCCAATGCAATACAATGCAAACATTTCACACAGAAAAGTAGCCTGCATATAAAATATTAAATAAATTGATTTAAATCATGGTGATGTACACAGTCATTTACAATCTCATGGAGATCTTTGAATCACTTACTTGACTTTATCAAAGTGTGCAAAGTCAAACCAAAAGACCACACAATAGGCAAACACATTTGCAAAATCTGCAAAAAGACTGGACAAAAACACGGATTGGTTGAAATAAAAGACTCAATAATCACTAAAAATCTAAAATCTCATGGCTATGACTGAAAAAATATTGGCAGGTATGTACTAGCAACACACCTCATGTTGAGGTTTTAGTTTTAGCAGAGAAAACTGCTTCTCTTCCACTTTAAGGCAGCGGTCTAAGAAAAACTATGAGGAGTCCAAAAATTTCCAGCCATGAAATCCAGGATACCCAACACTTAAGCTCAAATATGAAAAAAGTATACTAAGTTTTTCCAGTCGCCCAAAGGCAAAAGTTAGTTGCCTGTGGCACCCGGGCACCTCTAGAGCACAGCCCTGTACTTAAGATGGCTTACTACAGTTTTGATGGATTATAACAGCCCAACTTCTAACTCTTTTGAAAAATGTTCCAAGATATTTTTCCTTTCTCTATTTACTGTTTACCTAAGTCTTTCACTGTTCTATGTGAAACTTGAACAATTAAACGTCAACCAATGGCCAAAATGAACAATCATGTACCTAAGGAGAGACTGGGCACTAGTAGGTTAAATCACGTTTTTCTCAAAATTCTACCACCTCAGTTTGGCTCTGATTTAATATTCATGCAAAGTAAAATAAAAATCTGTAAGACAGATTTTTCCCAAACTAAGAAAATGTGAAATCAAAAATAGTTCAAAATCTGTCTGACAGATTTTTTAAAAATTTTGGCTCTAAATGTGATTCACACCTACAAATCAACTGTGAAAATTTCATCACGGGTTGTACGGTGGGTTTTCAAGCAATCCTCAATCAAAGACTGGCTTTCACAACCTTGGACGAGAATTGAATTACGCATGCCCTTTATTTAAGCCCGGGCTCATGTGACGCCATGTATCGCATGCGAGAAAGCAAGAGTAATTTAGAGCTCTTTTACCAGTTGTTTATCAAGTTTTTTTGTCATATTCTTTTGGCCCTAGGCTAAAACACATGTTTGAACAGAGTTTGAAACTATTGCTACGTATACTGAAGTGATTTAACGCCTTTCAAGTGCTGAAGTAAGCCATATTAAGAACTTAACTGTTCTGTGTCTTCTTCATCTTCACAATCACTCATAAAGAAATAATTATTTATAATTAATCAGTTTTAAAATGAAAATTTGTCTCTTGTCCATCAGCAAGCATATGTGTTATTTAATATGCTTCTTCCTGTTTTTGAGAATATTCTGATTTTAGACTTCTAACTGAAAGGAGGCAAACCTGAATATAGCTAATTTCTTCAGATGTCTGAAGTTCACAAGAACAGCAAGTGGTGGCAATAAACTCATTAGGAATTGGTGTCTGGAAATAAACCAAGAAAAACCATTAGACACACTATAAGTACTACAAACTTTGAGGGTATCAAGGTATGAATTTGAGGGTATCAAGGTATGAATTTGAGGGTATCAAGGATTCACACTAAGATTGGTATCTGAAAATTCCCTCAAAATTGCACGAGCCTTCAGGCAAGTGTGATTTGAAAGAATTTTCAAAGGAGTCTACTGACTGCAGATTGTGTAAATTCTTTGTTGCTCAAGCTTTTATACAATTTCTCATTTATTACGTGACTCAGAAAATTGTGAACATGCCTGTATTAATTTGAACTGCAGGGCAAATTAAAAGTTAGTGATCAATTGCTCTGCTCTCAGCTAATCACAAATTTTATAATTAAAAATGATTTCCTCTGTCAATAATTAAAAAAAAAAACTTGCATATTTAGAAATGAACAACAGTTTTATTTGTGCAATTATTCTTTATTCCGATAATTAAAAATTCCATTTGCTGTTAGTAGTAGTTATGCAAACTGTGCTAAAATGAAAAATACTGTTTAGTCTGTATCCATGCCATGATGTATCAAAACTTACTTTTTAGTCTCTTACTATAATTTTTTAAAATCTCTTACCTTTAAGCCCCTTTTACTGATTTTGTTCAGTTCCATTACTTAATACATGTATTACTGTATACAATTCATAACAAAGGAAATACCTAGGTAGTACATACCTCTCACTAACCAAGTTTGAGGTCCGTACTGTACATGTAAGTTATGGATCAAGTTTTTTCCCCTTCGATTTATGGCCCAAGAACAAAGCATGCGGGCCATAAATTGACAGGGAAAAAAATGAGGATCCATAACTTACAGTACAGACCGAGAAGATGAGGTTAGCAAAGATTTTATGTTATCTCAATCTCCTGTGGGTCTGACTGGTTCAGGAAAGATTTCTATTCATTCGGAACAGCTTCAAATTTCTGAAGCACATAGAAAGTAAAACAAGTCAATTTGAAATTGTTGTTAAGTCCTTAGCATGTTTTAATACACAATTTAATGTAAAAGAAAGTCTTATTCTTTTACTTGCTATAGAAGTTAAGAACACTTGGTGATAAATCACAAAACATTTTGGCAACAAAAACAGCTTTAAATTTTAGCTGGCTGTACAGTAGAGTGCAGCCCACTAAATTAACCAATCACAGCATGTGTGGTAACTGAGAGATATAACAATGTTAATTCCAACTCATTGTATGTTAATCCCTTCACTGTGATTGGCTGAGAGCAGGCCAGTTTATCATTAATTCTTAATTTGCACTGCAGTGCAAATAAATGGGCGCACACGTGTTTGCATTTTTCTCAGCCATATAATTTAAATGGTTGAGTAATTGTATGAAAGCTTGAGCAATTGAGGATATACACTACTTGTGATATTTGAAATTTCTTTCAAATTGTACTCGCCTACGTACTCCTAGTGAAATTCTCAATTACACTCACATTCATACGACTACCTAGTGTACTTAGACTACTTAATATACGGCCCTTCTGAACTATACTACAGTAAATACATTGTAACATTATCCATTCTGAAATTGCAGACACATCACTCCAGCAACAGAACAGAACATGTACATGTATTTCATCATTTTATAAATACAGTTGTAGATCTATGCAATTGAACTGTTTTTATGTCAATATTCCATCAGTAAGGTTCAAAGAAATTTTACAAATCTCAGCAGCTGAATACTTACCTGCTCAAAACTGGGAACATGTTGTTTAGAGTATCAGAGATGAAAATCAAATATGCACATGAAAAACCTGTTGACACAATCAAGAATCAGAATCAAGGGGAATAAAACAAATCAACCTACAAGACTTCTAGAAATTTCAATTATAATAATTTAATTTATCTCCTCAAAAACTTATTTTCTTAAAACATGAGTTTTTCTGTTCAGAGAATTTACACTAAAGTGCCTTCAAGGAAACTACGTAAACTATTCAACATAGCATATTGGACACCCCTTTTAAAGAGGTAGGGTTCAGGACTTTGAACGTTCTTCATTCTTATAACTACTGAAACACTGAGTCACAAATAATGCAGACCTTGTTAGTAAGAGAAGTTGTACTGAGATACGATTCTAAATTATTCACAATTGCATGACAAATATAAAGAAATTTATATGGACATAAAGAAGAAAGGAAAAGGAAATAATTTTTAACATGGTCACAAGGCACATGTACATATTAAACAATTTTAGAAGGACTTGAAAATACGTTGCTCACACTCAGGTCATTCCTTATAAAATTCCTTAATTAAAATCAATTGACCACTCATTTTCATATTCAGAGGCCAATCATCATTTCAAGGTCGAGGCTCAAATAATTAAATAATTTCTTTTGTTTTCATCTCCTAAGCCTTCAAGCCATGTTAGAATTTTACTGAAAGAGAAACTGTCCTGACAGAGAAACACTGTCTTGTTTATCAGCTCTTGTTTCTCCCTCCACTTCTTCTGTGCTCTTGTTGGTTCCTGGACTTGTACTTTATAACAGAACAAAACCCAAGCAGGCTTTTTTTAATTTGTTAAGTAAGGTAGAGTAAGTCTGCACACAAGCCAAATGGTCCCTCAGGCCAGCATTAATCTCTGTTTTCTGTAGCATGAGGAGTATTTCTACTCCCCCCTGGATGGAACACCAGTCCATCACAGGGTTCCCACCAGCAATAAATTTGCCAGTACCCATTTTTATACCTGGGTGGAGAGATGCACTGTGAGAGGTAAGACTGTTGCCTGAGAACATAGCACAATGTCCCTGGTGAGGGCTTAAACCTGGACCATTTCTTCTAGAGTGAAGCACACTAACCACAAGGCTCCCGCACGTCCCTAAGTAATACACAGTTACATGTACTACTTATTTTATTAGTAACTGTTTATGAAAAATAAGTACTGATAAATCACCTATTTGAGAAATGACAATGCTTGTATCAACTAGGGCTCTACCAGAATTTCCAAGAGCATAATAACCTGAAACAATTAGAAGAGATAAGAATAAGTTAACACTGCTGCAGTTCATGTACATTTACTACTCAGGAGTAAGCAAGTATTGAACTTATTTGACTGTAAAATATTTTTTTCCATTTCTGATAACATTACCAATGACTGAATCAGTGTGTCCGCAAAGCACGTCACATGACCAACTGTTGCAAAAGGCCTATTAACAATATTTTACTGCCACCTTTTTTATTTTAACTGTCACCTTGCATGAAAGAGCTGAGCATTATTACTTGAAAAAGTTCTAAATTATTGTGCCAAGAGTTACAAGAGGAAGTCATTCCCTTTAATGGCTGGAGCTAAGGTAAGGGATGGTGTAGTATAAATGAATGAATGTTATATCATTGATTAAATAATGATTCAGTTACATGTAACATGATTGTTCAGGTAAGGATTCTTGCAAAAAGTACTGTTGTCGGTGACTGCGTTTACTACAAAATTAGCCAATAATTTGAATATCGCAACTTGAATTATTAACACTAACCCAGATCTCCATAATCAATCTCATGATGTGGATTCTGCAACTAAATATTCAAGAAAACCAAAATCAACCTAACATACAAAAATGAAGTAATTATCCTGCAATCTTCTTAATGTGTATAATTATATTGAAATGTCCGGTTTATTATTAATTTTGGATCCCTGTCAACATACAAGAAAGTTCAACACCAAATTAAGGGTGCTCACTACAACAGCTTTGTGATTAATATTATTGACCTCTCAAAGTACAACTCACAAGATACAGACTGCAAAAGACAATTTGGTTTTTGAAAAAGGGTATGGTAGACCTTCAAACAAAAGGTCTGGAACAAGCATTGACATGGTGATCTATGGGAATCCATTCTTTCAGCACTTTGCATCGAATGAAAAGCAGCAAAAACCACTGTTTTGCATTGTACATGTACACAATATAATAATTATTCACTCAGGGCAGTCCAAATGGTTTAATTTAAAAATTTTGTCTAAAAAATGTTACTTGTTAACTGTTTGGCCTAGGGCATATGTAGAGGACACATTTCTGTCCCTTTATGCTTAGTGGGTCTTGAGCATAAAGCCCCAACCAAACGATTGCAACATTTCAGCACATCATATTGCAATATTGTTGGGCACAACATGTTATGCACATTTGGTCACCCTGATGCAATGTGTTGCAACATGTTGGGTGTTGTTAGCTCAAATTAATTATGATTAAGCACATTCTCATCCCCAGAGCCAGGCCCCTTTTGGCCAGCACTGAGAATCACAACATCTAGCTGGAATTGATTTTCTGAGCATGTGCAGAGCATTTATTTTGTATTTTCACCCAATCAGATTTGTCAGTTTTGACAGATTTGACGGGTAGTCCAAGAATTACCGACTTCCAGTGTTTGACCCACCCAGAGGATGTGATTCTTGCTGACAGTCAAAAGGATTGTGGGCTCTGAGGATGAGGGTGAATAATAGCATCACAAAATGCCAAAAACACATTACAATCCTGATGAAACTAGACAAGAGTGACAAAATTATACATCGCTGAGCCCCTACGAGAAGCTTGGTGTTTCTTTGGTCAACAAAATGAAGTTTTATCACCTTATAATTTGACAATACACGTATAAAGAACCTGATTTCAGTGAATATTGGCAAGTCTGCATACATATTATGTAATAAAACGATGCTAATGTACTGTATGTACAAGCATCAATTTGAAGAAGAGTTTGTCTACAAGGGAACTGTTTTGTATTCAGCAAGATTGCTGTAAAGAATAACAGTATCATATGATACCCGTAGAATTTAAAAATCAAAAGAATTAGGCAGAGATCACTAAACTGAAGGAGCCGGTGAAAGACTGTGGATTAAGCATGTAGACAATTCACTGCAAGTAATCATTGTGCAGTTCCAGAAAGTATCCATAATCTCCCACAGAAGGGATTGGAATTTCCTGGGAGGGTGGGGTTTGGGAGTTCTGTAAGACCACAAAATGTAAAGAAATGTATATTTCGCTTAATTTGAATTTCCATAGGGGTAGGAGGAGGGGGGTCTTAGAAGAAATCCTGTCTATGGGAGAGGTAGGGATATATTCTGGAACTACACATCGCCAAGTAATTAATACTGACTAGTAATTCATCCACTACTTCATCCATTACTTTATCCACTTCTCCATTTTCAGCCACCTTCAGCAACTCCTTCTCCTCTGAAGCAATCTTTCCATCACTTGACAGGACAGAACCGTTGATGTGGTCAAGTTTCTTCCATGTTATTTTTTTCTTGCAGTCAATAATCAGTAACATGGCTTTGACACTGGAAGAAGCACAAAAGCAAAACTTTGTTATTTAATAGAAAAGTATTTCTCCAGTAAATTTATTTCTTCATTTTTGAAAGATGATTTGTTGTAATTTAATACTAAGTTTTCACATTATTTTGCAAATAAAGTGAAACCTCTATTAAGCGGACACCTTCGGGACCTTCCCAAGTGTCTGCTTAATAGAGGGTGTCCACTTGATAAAGGTTTATAACAATTGCACAATGTTTGTTAAAAATTAACATTCAGCAGTTCCTCTGTACTATTATAAAGTCCCAGGTTGTTAAAGAAGCTATCCCGAGTTCAAGTTAATCAGCTTTCATTACCAACTTTAAAGGCTCTACTGCTTGTTTCTGCAGCTCTACCGTTTGTTTTTGCCTTGTTTTCTGCTCTCATTCAAACAAAAACTACCAGCTATACCAACTAGGGTGCCCATTTGATTTGCAGCATTGGAGCAGCCCAAAGGCCTTCCCCTGTACTTACTTCACGTGCCAACCGAGAAACCCAAAACGACAAGTGATGGGAAAACTCCACTGAAATATGAACTTTTGGGCAAGACTAACTCCATTGCATACATTCCACATAACTGGAATGTAAAATGGAGATTGTCCAAGAAATGCTTACTATGACCTTCTGCTTGCCTGGCTCAGAAGCTCTTTCTCTCAGCATATAGTGAATCACATTTTTTTTTTTTTTTGCTTTATTACAGTGAACTTTACTAGAATAAATGTTAAAATTATTCAAATTATAATTTAAAAGGTTTGGAATTGTGTGGTTTCATTTCCTTGGCAGGGCTTTTTCTCAGAAGGAATTTAAGGCCCTCACTCATTCATAAGTACTGACAGTAGTCTAATTTGCACATTCAACATATAACCCATGTTTGAAAAACTGATTCAATGTTTACAGAAGTTTGCGAAGCTCTAGCTGGGAGGAGAAATATTCATATAAGAAACTTAATTTAAGCTTAATTTTATTTTAATGGTTAAGAAGCCTATCGCAAACAGAAAGTCAAAATTATAAGGTTAATTTTACCAAACTGTATATAGATGTAAAGTCAAGTCGGTAATATGACTAGTCAAGAACCAAAAAGGTCAACAAACGTTCTCGCTACTATGACTACAGGCATTCTCTATCAAAAATCCAAGGTTTAATGCTTCTCGGGGCAAACTTTGTCAAATACCGAACGTGAAAGTTGGATATTGTTGTAAGAGAGGATGGGGCAGTAAAACTTATTGTTCGCTTATGATTATAAATTAAAACTTACCTTAATGTACCAATTAATGCCATGATTGCACTGCCCTCGATAACTCCAGCCTAATGAGATAAAAACGTACGATTTAGTTGGCCGAAGCCTTCATTCTCCAAATATGCGTTCGTGGCACGTACTGTGTTCGAGCGAGCGAACGTCAAAACTTTGCATACCTCCTTGAAAGCATGAGGCATTCCCAAAATCCCAGCGCCGATAAACGAAATAAATATATTGGCGAACATCTTGATGGAACTTTTGGCTCCATCATCTTGATGCATCCTCCGGAAAATGACATTTAATGTACCCTGACTTTCACCATGAACCAAACCAGAGACTGTGTCACCTTTTGAAGAGAGACTGGTATCTATTCTCCAGGCTCGACCCGCGATGGCACAGGGGTAGGGTGGTGCGTAAACACATTGTCCCCCCAAATTTAAATAGTTTATTCTATAAAACTAAATTTTCAAACGAATATCCTGAAAAGTTTTTTTCTCTTCATTTTCATCATGTGGTAGTAATTTTCTTGTTTTTACCATATTCAAGTCAGTGAAGAGTCAGTGATGATCCTTACGATATTTTCCTTCCCTCACCCCAGCCCTCAAGAATAAAAAATGTCACCCAGCCTGGCTACTAAGCAAGTTACAAACGCGAGACTTTCTCTTTCCTTCCATCTTCGGCGAAGGTATTAAAGCAGTGTGATATCCTCGAATACTTGCTACTCTCCTGAATCATCCGTCGCTATTTTGTAAATTCCTGTGAACTACTTAAACACATTTATTGTTTCAGTAGCTTATTTTGTTCGAATCGCCCTTTTGTCACGTAGAGTAGTCTCGTGTACGTACAAGATGAACACTTACATGTATGGTGACTAACGAGTCTGTCATGGTTTTTATTTTAAGCTTATTTTAAACATATCACTTGACATACTACTAAGGTAATAGAACAGACGACGATGTCAGAAAACTACTTTTTTCGTAATATTCAGCACAACCAAAACAAAGTAAAGAAAGAACATATAACAACATTAAGTTGGCTTTGCGATGAGAAGAGAATTTCAGTTAAATGGTCCCGTTACTAGAACTACTGGACCAAAAACGTTCAACAAGCAGCAGCAGCTGTGTTGCCTACCTTTTGTGACAACCTTGTCATTTATTGAATAGTTAATGAAATTTACTTATGAGAAAAGAACTTCCAAACGAAAGTATACTGCTCAAAAGTTCTGCTCAGTATCAAACATTTGGATGGTAAAACTTTTAGATCTCACACTCGATCTCAATAGTTGAAGCCATCATGAACAGCGTAATAAACAGTACCATACTTTTTAAGATGTTTTATTTGAATACAGTTTTTTTTTACTACCAATTGACGGATGGTGTTACAAGTACACTGTAAGATCAACAGCCTGCGACTTTTAAAATCTTACTCCAGGAGAACAAGGCTTGATAGACACCCTGCATCTTTTTTGGTCTGTTTCAGGTTTTCTTTGAGCCATGAAGACTATTCTGGCAAGTGCGACAGTTGATATACCTGACAATGGTAAATGTTGTTAGAGTGTGTAGTGAGATGTTTCCTGATGGTCACAGACGTTTTAAACCCTTGGTAAAGTTTGGGAGAGGGGACTGAAACATAAACACAACGGGGGAAAAGTGTTGGTCTATACAATAGCTATATGAGGGGTGTTTACTTTAAATTGCATTTGGCAGCATATAATAATCAGGGATGTAGCTAAGAGCTGGCTACTTGATTTATAATTTTTTCCAGCTGATAAAGAGCTTGTCACTGGCTAAAATTTATCAACAAAACAAACACTTAGGTCAATAAGGTCATCAAACTGAAAATGGGTGCCGAGGATGTCTAGGAACCTCAGTTGTGACCAGCCAGCCCCTAGACAGTAAACCTCTCCTGTAGCAAGCTTACAATGTCTGCAACCCAGCTATAAGCCCCATTGCATTGTCCTTCAGGCATCCTTCACATAGAGTTAACACTGCAGAAAAAGAAGGAAAAGGTGGAGGGGGACAAATCATGTGTTTGGTCAAAGGGTTAATTAAGGGCCAGGCACTGGGTAAATTGATCTGCTGTGAGAATGAATTTGCCTGCCTGGCTTGACCATGTAGAGGAAATATTTTCTTAAAAAGAAGTTCAGTTCAAAAAGTTCTGCCTGCTTGTCAAAACGTGTTGCCTTCCTGCTGAAAACATTAATTAAAGCCTTGGTTTGATGTAAAAATTATTGAGAGCTCTGAATAGAATTCCTGAGACAGCTTTTGTCACTTTCTTGGATGATATTACACTGCATCATGTAAGCAACGATTAACTATGACGAACTGCATTTCACACTTCTTTTTGCAGTCACAATCAAGCTAAGGGGCCGTGAAGTTACTGTCATAGGGCCTCGTGGTACCCTTGTACGAAGCTTCAGACACTTGAACTTGGAGCTGACTCTGGTTGGCAAAAAGAGGTTACGTGTTGATGTGTGGTTTGCTAAGCGCAAAGAACTGGCTTGTGTGAAGACCATCTGCACCCATGTTGAGAACATGATGAAGGGAGTTGTGTATGTAAGTAGAAGACAAGGAAAAAGCAATTTAGATCTTTTTAGCTTTGGCGGTTTGTTTTCCCAATACAGGCCATGTGATATTCTCTAGAGAATTGTTCTTTTATTTATCTAAAAGTTATTCATACATATACATGTACAGGCAACTATTTGAAGTTTTGATGGTAAGAATTCTCAAGAGCATCATCACATGGTCTGAAATGGGGCAACAAACTGCCCAAGCTGAAAAGGTCTATTAATTTTGGAAGTCTTGACATGTTACTGAAATGTGTCAAAGAAAAAGCTTTTCATTTCTGACTGAAATTTGTCATCTTCAGGGTTTCAGGTACAAGATGAAGGCAGTGTATGCTCATTTTCCTATCAACATCACTGTATCGGAGAACAACACCCTGGTAGAGGTGCGTAACTTCTTGGGCGAGAAGTATGTACGACAAGTGAGGATGAGGCCTGGTGTCACCTGCACCAATTCCACTGTGAAAGATGAAATCATTTTGGAAGGCAATGACATTGAGCTGGTTTCCAATTCAGGTTAGGTTATAATTTACCAAGTTTTTATACAATGGAATGCAGATTTCTCGAACCCTCAGTTTTTCAAACCTCCCAATAACTCGAATCAAAAGTCGTTTCCCCTCTACAGTAAAACGATGTGACTTAACCCCCGATTTCTCAAAATATTTGATTTTTTGAACCAATTTTCCTTTCCCTTGGAGGTTTGAAAAATTAGAATTCCACTGTAGTTACCTATGAGCATCCCCCTTTCCCACTAACAAGCATTTGGGTTGCTACACTGCTTTCAATAAGATTTGAGGTACGTCGCTACCCTGGTGTAGCACCCATTAAAGAGCAACAAGAGAGGATGACAACAAATTCCAAGAACTTAGCATCATGATGTTAGCTGGTAATTCACAACAGAGTACCTGCCCAAGCTTAGGTCTTACTGAAAGTAAATCATCATTACTGGTCTTACTGAAAGTACAGTGAAACCTGCCATATTAAGTGGACTCCCTTGGGACCCTCACTAGTGTCCCCTTAATACAGGGTGGCTAAGGTTCTAATATGTTGTGTAATAATAGTTAATTATTAACCCTTTTTGTATGTACATAGTGTAAGATCAAAGCCTAGCTAAGACTGCTCATAGCATAATGTCTGGTCAATCGATGAATAAATCTTGAACAATCACTTAGCTTTTAAACAACATCACTGAAGAATATGGAGTTTCAGCTGAACCTTTAGAAGTAAACAGCCCTTGAAGCGTCCACTTAATTCAGGTTTTGTGCACCAAAGTGGCGTAACATTGGTGTCCACATCTGGTTAATGGTGGTGCCCGCTGAATGCAGGTTTATTTTACAGTAAATGTGTGAAGAAAATTTAGGGACTCAAGCTGTTGTCCTCTTAACAGAGGGTGTCCACTTATTATAAGGTCTGCTTAATACAGGTTTCTGCTTTCACTGTACATGGGTTAAGGCCCATCTGCAGGGATGTCACAGTTTTGAAATAAGCAGCTTTTTGATTGGAGTAAACAGCTGATTTTGCTGTGGTTGTGTTAAGGCTGGGTTTCCCTTGCAATGGAGTCATAGTTGGAGTCATTAGTGCTTTTAACCTAGTGAAAATCAAAAATTTGAGTCGTAAGCGGAATCAAAAGTTCGACAGAATCGGAGTTGGAAGAATCATAACGTTTCCGTTTCATCTATTTCCATTTACGCTTCCGTCACTTATGATCCAGTGAAAACTAGATTGCCACAAGAACCAATCAATCACAAGGCCCTGAATCGACTGCATTGTAATTGGTTTATTCTTTTGCTTCTGCTTCAGACTCGAACAATGTAGTTTTCTCTAGATCATAAGCGATGGAGTCATAAGTGGAATCAGTATTCTGCTTCCGATGCTATTGGTTTGATTTTCAGTAGATCGTGTGATTCTGCGCCTCTGATTACAGCTCTGACTACGACTCCGCCGCTAGTGAAACCAGCCTTAGGGAGAATCAGATGAATAGCTCACTGGAGTAGCTGGCTGAGATCGTGAAGAAGATGGTGATTTTGCTAGCAGCAGGCTACTTTTAACAACTCTGCATCTGTATGCTAGCAAAAAAAAGAATTGTCTGCTCAAAAGCCCCACTCAAGATATACACTGTAGTTCCCCATCCGCAACGTTTCCTTATTTCTTTACCTTATGAGCACTTAACCATTACAATCTATAATTTTCTGTGATCATATTGTCACTTCATTTTGTGTAAATTTGTCAAAGTGATCCCTGGACTTCAGCTAACTCACATTTCTTTTTTCACAGCTGCTCTGATCAAGCAGTCTACCACCGTTAAGAACAAAGACATCCGTATGTTCTTGGATGGCATTTACGTGTCTCAAAAAACAACTGTTGTGTCTGAGGAATAAACTTGTAATAAAGGAATAAAAATGTAGCTGCCACTTGACAAGGTTTTTGTTTAATTTACTTCCCTTGTTGTTTATTTTTCCCCTGCTTGACTCTGGATCGAGCGCAACCTCGTTGCTAGAGTCTCTCATCTTTCCACCCTCCTCTCTTGCTCCGGGAGGGCGGGAAAATGAGAGACTCGAGCGGTTCAGGCTCTAGCCCAGGCCGGGACATTGTGTTGTGTTCTTGGGCAAGAGTGGGGGATGCAGACAATGCTGGCTATATTTGGGTTGTTGATCCAGGTTGAGTTCAACATTGCCAATTGTTTTTCTGTCTGTTTTTTTTTTTTTTTTTTGCGTGTTTATGGACCGACTGTTTATGAGCGGTCTATAAACAAGCAAAGACTATCAATCTTGGCCGAATAAGCTTGGTCAATAAAGGATTTATTGTATGGCATAACGAATATCATTTTCTTGCGAGAAGCAGTAGGCAATCGGTATGGTAAAACACTGCGTGACAGAGAGAGGGCCAGAACTGGAGTAAGCTATACTGAGTACAGGGTTGGACTGCAAGCAGTCACCCTTTTCGACCTTCTCCAAGGAATGTTTAGTGGTGATAATGCAAATTGACCTTAACAGCAGCCAGCGTCTTCACAGCTTGTCTTTTTTTTTTTCCGCACTTCGCTTGTGGCCGCTTCTCGTGCCATAGAAAGACTTCAGAAAAGCAAAAGGCTCTCGGCACAGAGTGGTAAGTGATTATACTGGGAAGAAAAGTGTCAATAGGACTTAGATCCAAAGAAATGGTGGAATAAAATCCTTTGATGCCATCCCCCATAGTAATGCTAAATCAGTCTGGATACAGTCTTCTCCATGTAAACTCATTAAGTATGATGGACGTCCAGTAGACCAAGCTGGACTGCATGCTTTACTTTTCTGCTTTTGAAGGAAGCAAGTTTGGAATGGAGGTTTTCTGTAACTTGGGGTGTATATGTTTTATAAAATTGATCCGGCAGTATTGAAAACCCCTTATCCACACTGCATTCGCTACATGCAGTTCAATGTACCGCTTCAGTTTTCTCTGTTTCGTGGGTTGTTATTTGTTTTGTACTTTTCTTCATCTCTTACCCTCTATTTGCTTACGAATATTCGGTTGTATCATGAATAACCTTTTAGTTTAAGGAACGTCAGAAACCTGAACACGGGATTCGGAATTCAACATGAAATCGGAGCCGAAATCGAATACAGGATTATCGAAGGAGCCTGTGACAACCTCGCTTTCTAACAATGGACCTTTTTACCAACTTTACGCCTTTCCGATTTTTTCGTTCAAACAAAAAACAAACGCACCACTCGATTTATCCTGTCGAATTCAGTAAATATGTGAAGTTTCAGAATCCCGCACCCCTAACTTGCCAATTTTTACAAAGAAATGTAGGGGTGGTGAATGGTGAATGCAAGACTTTGCGAGACGGCGAACAGATAATCTAATCGGCGCGGGTCGCGGGTCGCGGATAAATTGTCGCGGGTCCAGAAAATTGTCGCGGGTCCGGAATAACAATAAACGAAAGAAGGAAGAGTTCAAGATAAAATCGATGGACTTCTCCACAGCCCATCAAAGAGCCTACATCGTAGTAAATCTAAGAACAAATTCTAGTCATAAAGTAGAAATAGGAAAAAGTCCCTCATGTGGTTGTGCAGATTTCGTGAAGAATTCTGGATAAGAATTGTGTAAACATATAATATGGACATTACTTAACATATGCCGACTGCCGGAGAACAGTAATCTGTTGCATCAGCTGTTTTTAACTGATAACGAGGCCTTGTCTGTTGTTGGAAATTCCTACTCAGTCATTCCACAAAACCATGAGCCATCCTGGCAAAACCTGATGTATAAAAGGGCACCAAAAAAACTAGAAAAGAAATAATACAGGAACTTCTTTCAAATGACCCTCGTAGTAAAAACCAACAAGTCTGAACTTTATAATTAAAGAAAAAGAAAAGAGGACCAGCACCAAGATGCCGGGCTTGTAGAAGAATTCAAAATGAAGATGAATTAACCATCAACGTTAAACGTTTATGTCCCTTATGAACAGAATTTCGTTACAGAAACAATGTTTTATTTTTGTCCGAAACAACAATGCATAAACAATATTCCGCATTGGACTAATTTAAAACCACCAGATAGAATCAGAACGGAGAGATCAATTAGTGACGTCACAATAGCAGCTTTGAAAAATAATGGTTTGCGTTTGTAATACTGTAAACTAATTACAAATTTTAGGGGTCGATTCGTTTGAACTTCGTGGCTTCGTTGTTTGTCTAGCTGAAGGGATGTGTTTGAATTTTGGGGGTTTGTTGTCTGTTTTGCTCCCTACTTCTTGCAAATAATAGCAAACTAAAATTCTAAAATTTATTATCCGCTAATTTTAAAGCTATTGCTATTGTTATTGTTTTTGGACAACTAGGAAACAATAAAAGTTTAATTTTTCGGACCCGCGACAATTTTCTGGACTCGCGACAATTTACCCGCGACCCGCGACACGCGCCGATTAGATTATCTCGACGGCGAGACCAGCGCTTTTCTTTGCGAGCCCGAGACATATTGACTTTTTAGATTGCGAGACCGAGACTTCAAAGTGTTTTGAGTGCGAGCGCGAGGGGCTCAGACTCTTAAAATTCGAGCCCCAGATTTAGTTGAGAGCTATGCAAGAATGAGCGAGAGTGAGCTTGTACAGAAGTCTTAAAAAGGAGCCTTTTGTCGTAAATACTTGTGCCTTTACACAGTTCCGCAAGGATAAAGGGGACAACAGATAAGTTCTTCGACTTTGTGGGTTTCATCATGAGCTATCGTGGGTTGTGTGTGGCTTCTTGATTCTCCTTCTAGCCTTATAGCCAGCCTTTGCGAACAAGCTGGAACTGGAAATTCGACTATAACACACTACGTTAGGATATCCTAGAACAAAATAACTGTTTTTTGGCGNTGAAAGTTGCTTTATTGAAATTCAATATCAAGTGACGAGAAGACGTCATTTATTAAAACAAACAAACGAATCGGAACTTCGAAACCCTTAACCTTGCAAGAGGTCGAGACTCCGAGAGAGCTTCGTACAAAAATCGAGACTGCGAGACGCACGTAACCGCTAAAAAAACGAGACTGCGAGACCTGTGAAATTTGGCTAAAATTTTGCGAGATCCAGAGTTTTTGAAGGACCATTCGCCACCCCTAAATGTATGTCAGGATGCAACACTTGCCCTCTATCCATCTGGTTTGGGGTCTCATATTTTTATGAGTTTGCAACAGATTGTTCTGAAACTTCGTAGATTTACTAAATTCGGCATAAATTGAACAATGGGGGTCCATTTTGTAGTCTCATCCCGCATCCTGCATCTTGCCAAACCTCTGATACGAGTCCGCATTTTCCTTTTCTTGATGTCTAGAAACCTCGCCATGGGAACTTGCATGGGAAGGCCGAGCATGACAAATCTTGAAATTACACTAATCAGAGACCCAGCGACTAGAGATGCGATCTGGGAAGAATATTATTTCCAACAGTGGGGAATATTGGCCAACAGAGATCGTCAGATTATCATGCAGACCTTTTGGAAAAATACAAATACTACAAGAATTGACGAGCTGTTGAAAGAAAACTCGGAATATCGACGAATGATTAGAACGGGATCGACTCAAGTGGTAGCTCGAGCGGCAATGATGGCTGCAGTAAATCAGCTTGTTGCACAAGAAGTGGTGAGGACTACCATTGGAGGAACTGTGCGCCTCGGGAGCCTGGAATAGGGAGTGTCTGCTTTTGCAGAAACAACGACGCTTAGAGCAGTCCATGGAACATCTGCTATGCACGCTTTAGCTGGTATTTCTCTCGGGCCAGTCATTTCCTCGATTGTAGGTGAACAAGTAGCTCGAATTGCCGGACAGAAATTCGGAGTGACCGATCAACATGCAAAGGACGTTGTCAACTTTGGTGGGGCCGTGGCGAGTAGGGCCCTTGCTGGCGCCTTTCTTAGAGGCCCTACTGGGGCTCTTGCAGGTGCTGCGCTTGGAGGCTTTGTTTGGGGGCTCGGTGAGCTCATAAGTGGTGTTGTAAAGCGAACCACTAAAGTACCGTGTAAAGTACAAAGGGATAATTGGTGCTTTTGTGAAATTGGATCGTTGGGTAATGGTGAGGATCAGTTATGCTTTGGTACCTATAACGCTGTAGATACTGTTTACCGCGAAACTTTCCAATATGAGTATAGAGGGCAAAATTCAGATTGGACTATGAATGCGGGGCAACCACATGACGGCAGCTTTCAACTGTGTATCTGGGCGGGAAATGCCATGATCAAGCTTCTGAAAATTGTTTATCATCGAGACCGAATTCGTGTCATCAGGAAAAAAAGAGCTTACTACATAGCTCATTGAAAAGGACAGTTTCATCCGGGTAACGACTCTGGTACAACTGTAGTTTACAAAATCAAAATACGACGACATTAGAATGGTTATAACTATAATCAGTAGACAGGTCTGGGGAGTTCGGAGCCGCTGATTTCCGTTTCGTAAACGGTCAATGCCATTTTTAACGATCGATGCCATCAATGGTAACCAAGCCTTTCAGAATGGACGATGCCATATCTGCTTTAGTGTATAGGCCAGGACAAGGTAGAAACTGGTTTTAATTTGTTGATTGAGTAAAACGCACCCGTCAAATGCTTGATTGTTCATATTCACACTGGTTTGCTTGCGGTTAGCTTTTATTTGATGGTCGGGGCAACTTTATCATTAATAACTAAATTCTGCGGAGATTTGGCGGATCAACCTGGTAGCGTAGTGGTAGAAGAGGGATGTTAGGAAACAGGGGTTTCGGCCGGGTTCGATACTGGGTGTTTACTTACAAATGTTCTTTTTTCTTTAATTTCGTAGAGAAAAATTCGTTGATAGTTAAAAAATTTCCAATTGGCATCGACCGTTTACGAAACGGACAACTGCCTCGGAGCCACTGGCAAAGTATTACTGTAGTCAGTTCAAGTGTGTTGCGTTTTTCGAAGTCTTTTACGATCAGAGAATAATTCGTTTTCTCAGTTAGCAAACAAACTGAAAAACTTTATTTTACCCCACAAAAAGTATTTTCAATTAAATTGACAAATAATAGGGGTATTGGTTACCTGAAATAGCCTCAGAGGTATCAAGGAGAATTAAGGAGGTGGTTAGTTTAGTACAGATCCGGCAGTGTGTTTTTCTCTTGAAATGAGGCAGGGAGTGGGAGGTGAGACGCCTCACTAGTCTCACCCCAATCCCTTCTCGTCCATGTTCGCATCTCGGCTTAACACTCTTTAGATGGTGAGAGAAAAGACCGCCTACCAGCAGTCTACCATTTATGAGAAACCTGCAGCTTTATAGATTCAGGAGTTCAATCGGTCTTTTTAGAGATGACCGCCTTATAGAGAGGTTTTCACGTTTGCTACAGCGGTGTACATTTCATAAAGAGGTGCGTGTGCGCAGTCTTCTTGCTAGCCTCCGAGAGCCATACCCCCAGTAATGGTGTAAATCTTAGAATTGTCCAGTTAAGATTGTCCTTCAGCCTCTTAGAGGAGTATCAATAGATACCTTTACAGTCTCCCGTTCTACGGATAGAGGATTCCGCTTTATGCATCTGCCGCCGGCGATAATTCAAGCACGTTATTTTGTCCAAGTACATTATTTTATCCATGGTCAAAGTCAAATGCCCAGGCTGCTCCTCGCGATCGCGCACTTCGCTGCTACCTAAGGAATGAGGCAGGGTTTCGAGCGAGAATAATAAAAGTAAAGCTTAGTGATTTACAGTTTACTGATTTGTAATCCTTTCGTTTCTAAAATCAAAGAAATATACCTATCATAACTTGACAATTTCGTTTTGGATTTACCGCCGAATTAAATTTTCAGTCATTAGAAATCTCACTCGAATACGCCTAAGCCAGTTTATCACAAGTTTCTTTTTAAGTTTTTAGCCTTTTTTGGTCAAGAGGAAAGGTAAACAAAAGAAGTTTCATTTCCTCTTATTTCTCGAGTGACGTACTGTCTGTAGGATAGGTAATTCAGCACTGTAAACTGACCACTTGAGATTAAAGTTATTTTTGACTTGATAGTTAATTATAGCTTTTTAGTGGTGGAACTGCTATCGTTTAAAGGGGTGGTATTCAGGAAAGCACGTGAGCCTACGCTATCGATAATTTGGAAGCCTATAAAAAAGCACCATGATTTTCTATCAGGTCACTGGCCTGATTTCGTACCATGACAACAGGTTTTTCGCCATCTCCGGTCTACCACTTGGATTTCTGAAGAGAAAAAAGAGAATCTTTGTTCGTTCTAGGCATGTCGGCGTAATAATATAACGCAGCGATACGTATACTGAGGTGAATTAGTCGGTTTTAATACATATACTTTTGAAAGAGTGGCACGGAAGTTATCACTGCCAAGAGAATATGATAATAATATCTTGTTACTGATAAATCAATAAACTTGTGATCGGGCATTCTGGTTTTTTTTTTTTTGCGGCGGTGGAGGAAAGGAAAAATGTGTTGATCTCGTGACGGTCGTCTGTAGCGATAGGAAGGCCAGGTCCGGGGCGTAGGTCCAGAATCTAAACTATGTCCCGATTGGTTTCCTGACTAGAAATGTGACTTGCTTCTGATTAACGATTTAAACTCGAGATCCGTAACCGTCAACATGGATTGACAGATGCACATGATTCCCTTTTGTCTCCCTCTGAGAATCTAACCATATGGCATTTATTTTCAACTATACTGAAGCAAACTTTTTTGAGATAAATTCCGAGTGATGAATTCGAAATTCCATTTGAGATAAATTCCAAGGTTCATTCCTGAGAGACGAAATTACTTTTCTCAGAGTCACGTTCACATGTTACGTTAAGAATAACTCGCTTTCTTACTCAGCTCACTGTTTAGCCCTCAGCCATCTTATTTTCTTAGGCAAATATTTTCTGCATGTTAAATTTAGTATTACAGTCAACTTTCGCGTTAACTGTAACACCCCGCTATTACAGACATTACAGACACCCGCTATTGCGGACATACGTTAAATCCCCGGCCGAAACAGAAATGTGCGCATCATTGTCGTCGGAAACAACTCCCGCTAAAACAGACTCCTGCTATGACGGAATTGCGGACGCCTGATGTGGTACCCAAGTAATATTTTTATTGTTCTTCTCTCGTTATACAACGGACAACTTGGAGCTGAAATTCTCAGTATTCTGCCGTCGGACGTTCTTGCAATGTCTACTAGTTTGTGCACTATTTTGGCCTCTACAATTAGATGATTATGTGTCAAAGTAGATATGCACTACAAATTAAAAGAAACTCGAAATCTTAAAAGAGTACAGCAGTAAACGTTATTTAAGACACTTCAGATTGCAACCAAATAAGAATTGTGTCACTCCTCTCTGATCTATTACGGACATCGTCCCACAAATGACGTATGATCCCGAGGGTGTCCGCTCTAAAGAGAGTTGACTGTGGATACAATTTTTTATAACGCACTTCGTCTCACCGGTGCGTGAGAAACCTAGAAAAATACATTGTACAGTCATTTGTAACAATGAGAATAAGGCAAAACTGGAGAACTCATGAACTCAGAACTTCCTTTGGAGAACTGGGATATTTTTCCGTTCATATATGTCACTGCCTCTCCTTCTCCTCCGCTTTTACTTTAGATAGCGCGTACGGGTCTTGGTTCATTAATAAACTAAATTTAGCAATCAAGAGAAGACGACTTTTGTGTCAGTGAATCAGGCATGCCTTGTGAAAGGGAATTCAGCGTCTTCCTGCCCGGAAAATAGTAAGTATGCCTTCTAACCCCCTCCCNCCCCCCCCGCCTCAGCAAGCAGCCGGCACCTTCGGCGAAAAAAGCCCTTTTCACGGTTACCTTTGCTCATTTGCATTACAATGAAATCTAGCATGTATGTGAGACAATTTTGGGCTATTTTGCAGTTTTAGTCCGAAATTGCCTCGCATCCACGTTGGATTACATTGCAATGCAAATGAGAAAAATTGACCGTGAAAAGGGCTATTGCACGCGTAAAATCTGCACGTGCAAAAGGAATTCCACGCGTCGAAGCGCAATCGGGTAGTGTTACTTTACTGCTGCTTGATCGAATTTCAAGTCGTCGCGATTGAAGGAACTGATCCTGAATAAGTGTATCACGCGGTTTATTCTTTGGTTGTTTGCGCTGAATCAACGTGAACTTTATACCACTATAATGATACCTTTCTCGAAACAGCTGTAGTGAGTAATGTACTCATTATGCACTTTAATTTGTTATATGTAATGCAATGTTAAATGAAAAAAGTGCTAACGAAAAGTATCAACGAAAAAACTGATAGAAACTCCAGCAAACCTTATCCCCCTCCCCTCCCCCCTTATGAACTCGCAACAAATTTACCGCCAAATTGTAGATTCAAAAATTCTTTCTTTTACATGTAATAGATCCTGCTGAAACGTAATCCCGTGGGTTTATATTTAAGTATTAGCTCTTAAAGAAAGCAAAATTTGTCCGTTTACAAAGCTCTCTACTTTAGGAGCTGCTTTGTATGTATTATTATAATATTGACGGCAGAAACTGTTTGCTGATTACGACACGGTTCGCAGGCTACTTTTCCGATCACCGCACGTTTGGAAATTTTTCAGTTACGTTTTAAGTCCCTTTCAAATGTTAGCCCGAACATCCATCAAAATCCATCAAAAAAGCGTTTTTAACAAAACTAAGGCCTTGGGGCGGCGATGCATAATATTTACTCAATGCAAGAGGCTACAGCTAGTCTCTTGCGCAATTTAAATGACTGAAATAAAATCTTGCTCAGCCAAAGGTATTAAACTTACCTACATACATTCATATCTTTATTTTCATTCGAATTTCAGAGAAGCACGGTGGTGCTGATATCTCCTAACAAAGCTGATAAATAAATAGATGAATTGATAATGACGAGGACGCCGGCTCGCCCGCAAGTTACCGAGAAATATTGTACTCTTCAACTTACATTTTCTTGAAGTGCTATTGGTAAAGCTCAGTTTAAGAAAGCGCTCATTTCGAGGGGTATAAAAGACTCTACGGTTGAATTTCGCCAGCGCAACAAATGTACCTGTACGAATTAGAGTTTTATGCCACATTTGGGCTGCACGAACATTTTTGCACGAACACTTGCAACGATAGCAACTGTTTGCTGATTGCACATATATATAATTGGCCGTATTGTTCAGTTTAGTGTTAACTTACTTTGTATGCCGTCGGTGGATCGGTACTGAGGTTTAACCCAACTCATATTAAAGATGGATCTTCATGGATTTTTAAATACAGAAGGATTTTTCATTAATAATTTTTACGTCGGAAAATCGTCAGTTTTATCTTCAGGAAATTAAAAAAGAAAATAAGCACTCCCGGCTCCACGCATTTATATCACTCATGAACCATCGCACGTAAAAACTACACATTCAGTGACATTGTTTTAAAAATCGGCCTTGCTTGACTGTTAGTATGTTTTAAAAAGCCATTTTCAAAATTTCGAAATAGCTGTTGCTGGCTGATTTGCTGTGCATACCATGTATGGCGCAAATTTACCTCGTACAGGTATCTGTGATTGCCAATATCGCGATATCAAAGTCATAAAGGATATAACGAGGCAGAGTAATATTTGTCTGGGTCATGACGTAGCATTGCGTGGAAATATCACACAGGTGTGTCAATCCTGCGATCACGTGACTTCCTTCTTCATTGCGGCTATATCCACGATCGGGCAAGATGGCGGAAGAGTTGTTGCGCTCTTTGTACTGAAAGTCGTTCATAAGAACTTTGAACTCGACTTATTTCCTTGTTTACGGGAATCGTAAAGACTACGTAAACTGTTGAACTACTTTGGAACGATGTTGTCGTTTGCGAAGCAGTTTGTTGGTCGACTGAACATCATCCTTGCCTTATTATTGTTCGTTTGTGTCAGGAATTTTGTCGATGGAAGTCTCTACGATGAAAAACAATCCCCGGAATACACAGAGGCCAAACTGAATATAACGTATTGTGATAACTCTGGGAAGAAATGCCATATAAAACCGTATGATGGAAGTGGGAAGTTTGGAAAGCATAGCCCCAAACACGGCTCGAAAGGCTGGCTTTATACCTTGGTCGAAAACAACGTGAACGGCTGTAAAGAATTTAATGTGAATGTCGACAAAAGTCCATGGATTGCCCTGATTGAAAGAGGAGTGTGCAATTTCAAGGAAAAGATAAGAAATGCCTACAAGCACAACGCAACTGCGGTGATAATATACGATCATGAAGACCGAGATGACGAAATTATAATGTCACACGACGATGCTGATTATCTAGTTGCCGTGAGTATAACGAAGACTCTCGGCGAAGACCTAGCCCGAGCGCTTGTGAACAGAACCAAGGCTGTGTATGTAGAGATATCTGTTGGCGCTAGCCACAGTAATAAATGGGTCAATCCGGCCTCGGTTCTTTTCGTTTCGGTTTCGTTTATCGTTTTGATGGTCATTTCACTCGCTTGGCTGGTGTTCTACTACGTACAAAGGTTTCGTTATGTGCACGCACGCGATAAAACCGAGGTAAGAAACAAGCGTTGAAAACAGGAAATCAGCGGGTTTCTTTAGTTGTACGTCATATTAAAACACAAATTGTCTCTCTTCTCTATTTTTATTTGTTTTGGAATTCAGTGTTTCACACTTGCGCACAATTGGTTTCCCAACATTCGCTGTGTTACTGGTACTGTGAAACTGACATGTAACTTGCAAGTTTAATTTGCCATAAGTCATATTTTGCCACACATTTTCCCTTCTCTCTCTCCTTTGCCCTCTCTCCTTTGTTACACAGCAATTAACTCGTTTGGAATTTAAGAGTTCGATCGTGCTTGCGTCATGGTGCTGAGCAATTCAGAGTTGAATGAAGACAACAATGTTGTTCGGTGAAGCGTCTAGTTAATGCCGATTGTCAACGGAAATATTCAGCTATTGCGTTTCAAGTCAAACATTAGCGTTAACTTAACCAAAAATCACCTCAAAAAAGCTTAATTAAAGCCATGTTAGATTTGTTCCACTTTCGGAAATTCAGCGCAGGCTGACAAGGAAATTGGACAGACATCCTTGATTTTGCATTGTGTGTGTGTGCATAAATTTTTTTTCATTTTGAAGTAAAATATTCTAATAAGAAACAACAGGTACTACTTAAAGGTTTCAGCAAAGTAAATAATTAATACAGAAAGACGTCTAATGTAATGGGTAATATTTTATTAATATTACATGTACAAGAATAGAATAAATGAAAAATTTGTGTGAACTTCATTGTGATTTTCTTGTAATTTGGCCAAATCTGGGTTATTGTATTTTACAGAAACGTCTGACTTCAGCTGCCAAGAAGGCTATTGCAAAGCTCCCTACACGTACTGTTAAAAAGGTAAGTTAGATTTCAATATTGGCATGTAAGCCCCTCTTGTCTCCTGTAAAGGTAGAGAGGACCAGGACAGTAAATGTTACAGAAATTAAGGAGCTTGCATTCCCTTCATCTTCTATATGACAAACTTTGTGTGACCATCCTTTTTTTAGCAGATATCTTTTAAAACATCCTATGGTAAAACCATCAGTGACAATGACATCCTTCTTAGAATTCCATAAAGAGAACACTGAAATGATTTTATTTCAAATTGAGAGTTTTATTGAAAAGGGATCTGAAGATAACCTTAAGTCCATTTAGTTCAATAAGGTTTCAATCTAGCAATAACACTGGTTTCCAAACCACCATGTCTTGTCATAAGAATCCTATGAGAGACAGTCTATCTTAGGAGCTGTCTGTCTTATTTTCGAGATTACAATTGTAGGAGCCAGTCATAATTTAGAAATCACTTTTAATGAATACTTTGCATCCATCCTGTCCTCTAGACTGAAGATGATGAAACAGACAGCTGTGCAGTGTGCTTAGATGGTTACAAAGCTGGTGAAGTTGTCCGTATACTTCCTTGTCAGTAAGTACATCTTTCCATAACTCATTGCTTTGCAAAGGAAATAACGTTCCTTCATCATGCACATAGTAGTTTCCCCATAATAATTGTGAACCAAAAGTTTTGGTCGCATTATTGGTATGCTAAATCTGCTCATTGTGCTTGCATGAAAGCTGTTTGCAAAAAAATCCTCTGCTATTTTGAATAGTGCTATTTGGGTTACTTTTGGGGTGATTTTTAGAAAGTCTTTAAACATGATTTTCTTCTTGCAAACTTCTTTTTGTCCTCAGTAGAGATAACTTTAAGGTTCAAGCCCAAACATTCACATAGCTCATAGCAAAACAATGTCACTGAAATTTAAATTCGCATATTTCCCAGCTTGCATTTCTCTCATTTTGGAATGTTGCATTGGTATCAGCCAGTTGGAGATGTCAAATTGATTTATGATAAATATAAAATATTGTAGACTGACATAATTAATAGCTTAACCAACTTTTACAAAGCCAGTGATGTTGTCTGTGAGGTACACTTTCTAGCTTACAGTGCATGAACCTACTGTTAGTAATAATTATTATCCTTGTTAATGCATGTGGCACGGAAGTTATCACTGCCAAGAGAATATGATCATAATATCTTGTTACTGATAAATCAATAAACTTGTGATCAAGCGTACGTTCTATATTTTTTCTGCGGCAGTGGAGGAAAGGAAAAATGAGGAAATACAGTTATGTATTGATCTCGTGACGGTCGTCTGTAGTGATAGGAAGGCCAGGTCCGGGGCCTTGGTCCAGAATCTAATCGTGACTAGAAATGTGACTTGCTTCTGATTAACGATTTAAACTCGAGATCCGCAACCGTCAACATGGATTGACAGATACACATGATTCCCTTTTGTCTCCCTTTTGAGATAAATTCCGAGTGATGAATTCAAAATTCCATTTGAGATAAATTCCAAGGTTCATTCCTGAGAGACGAAATTACTTTTCTCAGAGTCACGTTAACGTGTTACGTTAGGAATAACTCGCTTTTTTACTCAGCTCACTGTTTAGCCCTCAGCCATCTTATTTTCTTAGGCAAATATTTTCTGCAAGTTAAATGTAGTATTACAGTCAACTTTCGTCTTAATAACACCCCGCTATTACAGACATTACAGACACCCGCATTGCGGACATACGTTAAATCCCCGGCCAAATTATTATCCTTGTTAATGCATGTGGTAGTTTCACTAAACTCGTGTTCGCGTGCAGTTTCACCAAACTCGTGTACAGTTACCACAGTGTACTCAGTTTACGTGGTGTTCTTTTTAATCACCATGACCTCATTTTTTTTCTCCAGGCACGAGTTCCACAAGATGTGTATTGACCCATGGCTGGTAGAGCACAGGACCTGTCCCATGTGCAAACTCAACATCTTAAAGGAATTGGGTGTGGTAAGTTCTGTGCTCTCTTACAGTGCAGGTTTCAGTAAAATGAAGCTTGACATGTACTGGAAGAAAGTCCTCATTTACAAATTACATATTAGTCACGAGCGAAAACTTCTATTTGGTAATGTTTTTGGGTTTTAAATGACAGCTGTCTTAACAACACAGACCTGCAGGAAGGCAATGCTATTGACCTTTTGAAATTGATACATTGATTGAAAACTGTTATATAATGAAAATT